AAATGAAAAATTATCATTGAGCATGTGCACGAGCGATCAGACAGAACGATGTGAACTACAGGACATTCCATACCAAGAGGCAGTGGGCTCTTTATTATATCTTGCACAAGGAACCAGGCCAGACATAGCATTTGCAGTAAATGATGTAAGTCGATTCATTTCAAACTTCGGCAAGGCTCACTGGACGGCTGTCAAAAGGATCTTCAGATATCTGAAGGGAACAATGGATTGGAAATTATGCTATGAAAATTCAGGTAATAGTAAACTAACAGGTTTTTCTGATGCAGATTGGGCTTCTGACGTTGATAAAAGACGTTCATGCACCGGCTACGTCTGTAAGTGATCAAATGGAGCGATATCATGGTCAAGTAGACGTCAACCAACAGTAGCATTATCTAGTACCGAAGCTGAGTACCTAGCACTTTCAGCAGCACTGCAAGAAGCAATCTGGTTGAAAAATCTGGGACAAGAATTGGACTCGGACCTTAGAGAGACGCCTATCAAGATCGGATGTGACAATCAGAGCGCACTAGTTTGGCTAAAACTGACGGATACAGAGCACGATCAAAACATATTGACGTTCGTCATCATTACATTCGAGACAAATTAGAAGACAGGACGATTGACCTCGAATACATACCGACTGAAGAAATGGTAGCTGACAGCCTTACAAAGGCTGTACCTAGTCCGAAAAACAATTTTTGTGCTCGCGGAATGGGCATTAAAAATTAAATGTAGAGATTCTAAGTTTTATACATTGTTTTTTTATATGTAGAGTCACCTTAGGACAAAAGTCAATTATTGTAATTTGAGTTCATTTAATGTTTAATGAGTGAGGGTGTTGATACATATAGTATAAACGTTTCCGTTCAAGAGGGCGCTACACTTATGCGACATGTAACGTCCTCTCTGTTAAGCTTAGCTCCTGGGCCAGTCTGCCTGAGCAAGCTCCCGCTCGAACCATATACCGCCTTTTTGTTATAACATCGAGCAAGCTCAGTAATAAACAGTTTTCGTATATAGTTGGGGCTCACTCTGCTTTATTCACCCCATACCGCAATTATATAAATTTTATTCCGATTAAACCTGTAATATTCGCGTCGCGTGGTGATTTCGGTATAAATCAAGTACTCGCCAAGTCGTAAGGTTATGTGTCTTTATTCTCTTACGATACAAGCCCGACTGACTCTTTGCTCCTCTCGTCGGTCACGGTCCCCTTCCCGCGATCCTCGCGCCGTCTATACCTACTCGGGATGCGCGGTTACTACTCCCGCGCTCTATGCAACATCTCCCCTTTTTGGTTTAGCTCCCGGAGGTGATTTTCGTCCGCCTCCCAGTCTGTCGTAGTTTAAACGACTGACTTCCTTCCTAACTCGTTTGGGCCGCTCCCTTGTATGCGAGGTTCCCGGAGTCTCTCCTGCCTCTGGCGTGTCCTTAGTCTTCTCCTCTAGGGCTGGTGGCATCCGACCTCTCTGTCCTCCATCGGCCGAAGGTGAATTTGGTCTTATCGGGGACTGCGGCGGAGTGTACCATTCCTCTGCGACTGGTGTATTGTTTATCGTCTCGAAATAACCCAGGGGTGCGTCCAAGCGATGCAAGTGACTCCGGTTTCGACGGAGCCTTCCCATTTCGGTCTGCACCCAAAAGGATCTTGGTTGGTCCGCGCGCTTCTCTACCACGCCCCAGCGACGTGCATCCCGGATCCACACCTTGTCTCCCTCCTCCAGGTCGTCCCTCTCCGTTCTATGATGGCGCCTATCGTAATCTTCTTTCTGGCGCCGAATTCTCTCTTTTTCCCTGGATAGGAGTGTTTCGCGATCGACAGTCTTTGGCGTTAAAAGGGAGGGGGTCATGGGGAGAAAGGATCTAATTCGGCGTCCCATGGCCAACTCGCTTGGAGAAAAACCGCACTTTAACGGGGTTGCCCGGTACTCCATCAGCCATTTGTCAAGCTCCTTGGTTTTCTCCAAGCCGTTTTTCACCGTCCTCACCATTGCCTCTATGAAGCCGTTGCTCTGGGGAAAATGCGGCGACGACGTTCTATGTTCGAACCCGTAGGTTTTCTTGAAAATCTGGAATTCTGTGGTCTTGAGTGGGTCAAATTGCGTTCCATTATCTGACCGGATGACTTCTGGTATTCCATGATGAGCGAAAATCTCTTTTAATTTATTGATTATCGTCGATGATCGTAAATTTGGCAATGGGTATACTTCCGGGTACCGAGAGTAAAAGTCTGCCACAAGGAGGTACCATTGTGTTCCTTGCTTGAATAGATCCATGGCTATTATTTGCCACGGTCTGTCCGGAAAATTTGAAGGTTTTAAAGGCTCTGACCTTCCTGGTCTGTTTTGGATACACGTGTTGCAGCTGTCCACTAGTTGTTGTAGTTCTGCAGATATCCTCGGCCACCAGACGCTGCATCTAGCTCTGGCGCGACATTTTCGATTCCTTGATGAGCTCCGTGGATTGCTTCCAATGCCTCCTTGCGAAGTTCCGTAGGTATGTAGAATCGCTCCCCCAGCATGATAAAACCTCGTGTAATCGAGAGGTTTTCCTGAAAGCTGAAAAATGGCTTCACAGACGCGCTGACTTTCTTTTTGCCCGGCCAGCCGTTCTGGATATATTTCGCTAACTCTTGACACACTGGGTCTTT